AGTATTATGCATAGATATTACATATATGTGTCGAACACCTGACGACTGAACATATACACACAGGTATTCATCAAATTCGAAACAAGTCTGTTCGATATGTATACAGCACACATCCAAGGAGCCGATTTTAAACAGAGACGAGTACGAGGCAAACGTTTGTTGAACAAAAATACCAGCGAGTGAGTATTTGTCGAACAAATACGCCGCAATGGGAGCAGCTATTCAGTGAACCGAACGCTGGATCAAATGCACGCGGTATTAAACAGATTAATATTGTAACATTAAACGGTTACAAATCAGTATACCGTAAAGGATCGAGTTCAAAGCTGAGGGGGAGCAATTCAATTATCATCGTATTAATTTCGCATCTCAAAGGACGGTTTGAAAAATGGGAACGACATCTACGAGGTGAATTTAACTATCAGATGGACTTTCGATTTTGGTAAATTTTCGTAATTTAATTTATATCGACGAATAGAAATTAATTAGCAACGTAATGAGAGAACGGACGATCATACAATTTCTCGAAATAACGATGAAAATTAAAATGAGTTTGACCCTATATGCTCGAAGTTAAGTTTCGTTGAATTTTAAATTTAAGATTAACTTCATTCTTATTTGATTTTAAATTCCAAATTTTATTTCATTTAATTTAAAAATTTTTAATATTTCGTGTTTGTTAAATTGGACTAACTGAGTCTTCGTATCATTAATGACTTTTGATGTATTAACATAACAGAGAAAAAATTTTTCTAATAATTTAATATATAGTAAAACTTTCTCCATGTGAATCCTCGTATTTTTTCGAACATCTTAATATTTCAACTTTATATTTCCAGAATATAAATGTCTGTCAGTGACAGATGATGTTCTAGAATTTTAGAAAATTAATAGAACATTTATTTTCCTTATTTTTTTATTTTTATTATTTTATAGTTTATCATTTTTCATAAAATATCATTTTTCTATATATTTATTAATATTTATTAAATATGCAAAATATCAAGATATTCGAAAAATGGGGATTCATATAAAAGAGGCTATAATGTATTATATTTAAGATATTAAACCAAAATGAAACATTTTCTAGCTAATTCACCAATGAGCCATTTAGAAACCATATTGATCAACTCCATAAATTAGAAGACACAGATTACTGATGATATTGTTTATTTTCTTCGAATTAATGAACGTATAAAAGTTGAATTTATTTCTTCTTTGAATTGAATACTAATCCTCTATTTATATTATAAAATTAACACTAGAACTACCAAAGTGTTAATGATCAATTTCCCACAAAAATCAATGTACATTTATAACAGTGTATTTTTAGAAATTTGAATGATTTTTAGTAAAATATGTAAATAGAAGCTTCTATTCTTCATCGTAAACTTTCTCCTTACACTTTAATTTCTCTGCTGTAGTACTCGATGGTTTCAGTGTTGAAAAATTAAACAATAAAAAAAAATGGAGTTGATCAGTTTTGCTGAAATACTCGTGTCTTTTTGAGTACCATTGTCACACCAAAGTGACATAAGCGTGTATAAAACAATAATGTTAGTACACTCGAGGATATAAAGTGTTTAAATTAAACAAGTACCAAGAAATCAGAGCTGATCATCCAGGCAACAGAACGATTCGAACAAATCCTCCATGAATCGGTGTCAGTAAGGATAATCCAGGGAAACAGGAGGCACAGAAAGCACAAGAATATTACTGCAATGCATTTATAACTAGAATGGAACGAAGACAAAGGCAGCACGTCGTAGAGGCAAGGAACCGTTCGCCGATTTTTTCTAAATAGTATACATATCACGACGCTTTAAAAATGACGCAGGAGAGTGATGGAACGCGTACACTATGAGAGGACGAGGAACTTTTTCGTTTCGTTAAAGACGGACACTCGAAGGATGTAATCAGTCTCCCGATGAAAATACGCCACGCGTGAGAGAGAGAGAGAGAGAGAGAGAGAGAAAAGGAAGGAAGGGAAAGAAATGTACGAGAAAAACTTGCTACACGAGTTAGCGTAGTACGGTATCAGGGGAGCGACAGTGTGTCGTATATACAAGGACTCTGTACAAAGCCTAACCATACACGGACACACATACACGCGCGCGTGCACATATCTGAATCGTAACGACACGCCCTACACGCGTCCTAAACTCTCACACACGCACGCACAGACCCCACATGTACACACGTTCGTTAAACCACCGCCCTTTTACACGTTTTATCGGTCCTTTTGACTTTGTAGATAGCGATACGACATTTTCTTACACGCGCCGGACGACGTCGACGCGCTCCAGCTTCCGGGTTGTGTTTCTTCGTCTATCCGGACGCTGGAGGTCGCGCGGTCGTCGTTCGATCACGATTGTATTGCTAATCTCGTTATTATTATTATTATTATTATTATTATTATTATTATTATTATTATTAT